GATGGAACGGCCTAAAGGCCCAGTTCCGACCGCCTCACCTCGTCGCGGCTGTGCACCGACCTGACCCAGCTCTGCTGACAAAACCTTAACACGGGGCCTGACCTTGCACAGAAGGTTTGGAGGAGTAAGAGTAATTCAATTTGAAAAGGGTCACACACTCACACACAATCGCACGGTAGCCATGCGAACAAATGAACTGGACCACCAAGTTGGAAGTGTTCGATCGTTGCTCCAAACACCCAACCCAGTGGGTCCACACTCTAGCCCTGGAAGTTCACACCTCACAGTGAGAGTTCTTTAGCAGAAATTGAGGTCATTGTTTTCGGGTAACAGTGAGTACAAGTCTGTGGATATTTGCTGAGAGCTCGGGGGAGCAAAGAGAATTGCGCGCAGTGTGCTCTGTGAAATGAAAATCACAAGAACAGAGTGCGATTACAATCAGTGTGTTGTGTTTTCCAGTAAGAATGCATTTTATATCTGTCACAAATTAGAGTGAAGGAAAGAATCGTAAAGACCAAAAGGCATGTTTCTTTAAGAATGGTACAGAGGTATACTTTTATGAAATGCAGCACTGAAATCTGCTTGAATTTATCAATAAATTACCAGCTCGGATAATAACAATAGGCGATGAGACATGTTTTGGGTATGGGAGTGCTCCTCATAATAACCTAATATTTGTTCAACCTTTTTTATTAAATAAAATTATACAATCAACCTTTAGAGAGGAGGTGGCTGCAACCAACCGTTCAGGTGTTGTCTGGGTACCCAAACAGAGGCGGTTAGTGTTAAGCAAATGTAATGGTGGGATTGGAACTCATAAAATTTGTTTGATGAGATAGTGAAATAAAGCAATTTACCACTGCCAGAATAGTTACAAGGTAATAAATTGTGCGACTGATTTTATTATTTATCAATAAAGGACAGAAATATTTCGTAGCTTTGTAGTTGGAGCTTTCTAATCCACGGTTTCAATCACTGCTTTTTCCAGCTCGGATAGTATAATTCGGTGTTCACTTGTACGTAGAGTTTGGCAAAAGTTGAATCAGCAATCGAGCTGACATTTTCAATGCAGTTACTGCATTTGTGCCAATCCGCTACTGACCGACTCTGGGAGTACATTGTATGCAGTTCTTAGGTGGGTAGTGAAATATTCCATGTTGGTTAGATTAATGATCTATAGTGAACCGCAACCAAACTAGTTTGGTATCTCATGGAATGCTTCATTTTCATCGAAACAGCTGTACAGTGCTTCCTAGCGTTTCAGTTTAAGCTTCATTTGCTACATCCACGACGCAATTCTCTTTGAAATTGAATGAAATCCTCCATTACTCACATGAAAAAAGTTGTTTGACAAATACATTTTGAAAGCCTAAACTACGCATGGTCAATTTTAATCATGATGATTTAGCATCAGGCAGAATTGATTTTTGATACTTCAACCGCCAATTCGCCTCCTCTCTATATTACTCTATTAACATGCCGTAATCGCACATGCACATTCCCATCTACTAACAGTTTACGCGGGTCACTGGTCGTCCATCACGTGACCAATGGCAAAAACTATTGGCCGATCGCTGGAATTTGAAGCCACCCACGCTGATCATCAGTATCATTGGCTCAAGAGCTGAGCTAAGCAAACGATTCAAATTGACCTTGAAAAATGGACTGTGGAAAGCGGCTGAAAGTGCCGGTGAGTCTGACTCCAACCAAACGAGCAAACTGCAGGAGTCACGTTTTATGCAAGCACCAACAAAACACACCATGACTGCTGTATAAAAAAATTTGACTGTACTGTACTTCTCATACCACCATATATTTGACAAGAAAAGAACAAATATGTTTTAACTCTCGGTCTTAACTGTTTAAAGGCAGAAATTTCATCCCACTTAGGCTTCGAAAACGTCAGCAGTTGGATGGCCGACCCTCTGGTTTTCTACGGTGCTTCTCGTGTGCCGAGGAAAGAGCTGCTATTTACCAACAAAACATATTCTGGTTTTCAATAAGTAATTTGTAAATTATCTGAACTCGCTAACAGTTGGGCCAAATCTGTAAAAATACAGGGGCGTAACCATGCTTGGACAGTGAATATTTGGATTAGCTAATTCGGTTTTTCACAGGTGCCAGGCACTACTGATGATCTTGTGTGTGGATCCAACTCCTTGGGAGATCGGTAATTATCCACCATTTAAATGCATTTCAATGTGATTGAAGTGCTTGTGATGACCGACAAAAGGGTAAGGTTTTGAAGTTTAAGCCCGAAGGTTCGCGACTCGAGTCCTGACACGGATGTAAAATGTACGCACTACTGACGAGTCTCAAGTAGAACGAAACAGCTGTCCAGTGCTCATTGTCTGTCATTACAAACATTTCCATTGCATGTAAGACTGATCATGCTGTTCCTTATCCTTTGCCTCAGCTATCTTCCGACTGCCAAGGGGTGTGAGCAGCTATTTAACTGTCTTAGTGTGCTATGGGGTCACAACATGTTTTATTGGTTCTTTTACAGTAAATGTTTTGCATTTCTATGTACTCGAATCCAATATAACTGACAGTCGGCAATCGGTTGATATTGTATCACAGTAAGTAGGACTGGGCACGCACTCCGGTGATGTGTATGTGAATCAACGAGCAGTCCCACTGTGACACAGGCAGAACTACACGAGTAGTGATTATGATCGTTTTCGATAACTTCTTCCTCTGGATGATTCCTTTATATGACCTAAATACACATACGGCAAGCCATGTTACAATTCTAGCAAGTTGATTGCATCGAACGGATGTAGTGAAGAGTGGCTGCTTTGAAAACATGAAATAACAATTTTCTGACCAGAGAAACAATGAACCGTAGTGAGGGAGAGAATAGGATAGATGAGGCCAGATGCATCCGATTTAGGTCAAACGGTCGTAGGGAGCATCACGGGGGACGATTCCGGGTTCGGTCTTGGTCCTGCGCCAGGGTAACTGGGGAGATTTGTTCGCAATATATTTATCGTCAAGGCGTCTGCTGTTGTAAAGTAGCGTTCTCGGAGACTTTTAGAAGCTTTTGGAGCGTACCTTATAAGCAATTTTGGAATGCATCTTCATTTTTCTTGATGTCTGATATCCACGATCCGTCCCGTGATTATACTAAATGCGAACGTGAGCAAACAAATGAAGAACGTGGAGAGAATCGGCAGTTTTTCCTTAAGATTCAGTGACCACATCGATCGGATGATGAAATGGGCACGTAAACAGGCCTCAGGAGACGTTCAAACGATCATTTTATCAAATTGTATTGTTAATAGATCACTATTGTAAATGCCTTCGAGCGGGAGGTGCATGTAGAGTTGTTTTTGGTTGCGTGGTGATACCATTGGGCCTTTGGTTGCTTCACATAGTGTTGTGTCTCATCAGAACTATCACTGAACCTAGTCCCATGATGCGTATCCCAACGATCCCAGCTGCAAACAGTGCAAGTGTTTTGTGATTATTGTCAGCCAAATGTGGATTAAGAAAGTGAGAATGTGCGTTATGGTATGGGGTTGATCACAGTCTATGGTCATTTGTCCGGAATCGGAGTCACGAAGGCACTGACAGAGGGATTGCACAAACCGGGGTTGGCGTTCTTTGTTCGTTAACCTGTTAACCTGGTGACTACGTGTGCAGGATCCTCGACAAATCGCCGACACGTTCTCGCGGTGGCGGCTGATCCTGATCGATTTCACATGCCTATGTCAAACAAAAGAGACACTCCCATTGCACATTTGTCCGTGTGTCTGAATCGTTTGACCCCCTAAAATTAAACCGGACGTCGTGTGTACAACGTAGTTTTGACTTCCTCAAGTTAACTGATGAAAAACTATCCCATTTTCTATGATTTAGTGGAATAAAATATCTATTTGGTCCCCCCCCAGAGTAACATTGATGAACAGCGATTTCACATCCAATGATGTCATTCGATTATCCATTTGTGTGTCTTTCTGATATAGCTTCCCTAGATCGGAGTGTCTCCTTTAGACTCTCTTGTGATGTCTTTCTATGAACAGGTACCCAAATTTTCACAAAGCTTTGGGTAATCGAGTGGTAAGGAGAAGCGTGCACTTCCACAGTAGGTCTTAGATACACGTTCCGGCTTATTAGCTTTAGGAAAACCGTAAAGACTTGGGCCTCCTGTTGGTTTCAGCTGTCTGCAAACTACCTTGGAGATGATGCTTTTATCTCTCAGAAATCTAAGTGACATGATTGTGTTCGTCTACTGTTTTTCCTTGTTCTTCATCTCTTGTAACTTTGATGAATTTCGCCACCTCTCTCACAATGCCATTCATCTTTTTAGCGTTTTCAGCACAGTCCAACAATATCACACCGGATCCTTTATCGGGTTGGCATTGATAATATTCCTGTTTATCTTCAGTTTCGTAAATGCTTCTTCGAGGATACATATAACCAATAATTCGGTTTGGAATACGTGTCTTCAGTTGTCAAGTTGAGTGACATCAATGTGGTTGCGCTCTACCGCTAGCAGCGTCCAACATACTGCAAATCGTAATTCATTACCAGATACCTTCCAACTTACAGAGCGTGAAAATTTGACTAAGCGTATTGTTATTTGATGGCAACATTCAATTCTGGTCACATGTTGATTTAATGTTTGCTCAAGACGATAGACGAATTCCTCTCACATGTCAATTCTGCTTATTCCCGAAATTCTGAACCAGGCTGTTGCATCATTTCGGACGGTCTAGATCGTGGAATGACTAAGGTTGCCGGCGAGGCTGTTCGTGATTACATGGAGGCTTACGGCGGCGATCATATGGTCATGGTCGGGGTGACTGGATCCGATCAAATTGCTTTTCACGAACTTTTTAAGCCAGACGGAGGCGGATTACAGGTCAGTGATGATGGGTTTCCCGTGTCTCATTGAGTCTGTTCTACCGCAGAGATAACAATCCATTCCCGGGGTGGGGGGAGGGCTGATCTCAACAATCAAGAAAGCTGTTCAGTTTGCACTGGGACTTACTCTCCTGATGTTTGCTATTTCCTACTACTGTACAGGATTATCCACTGAGGGAGTGGTATCTGCTATGCCGCAGATTTGTTTTCACTCCTTTCGACCGATAAATTAAGGCTGAACATGGAATGATCTCTTCGCTTACAGTCAATGAAAATTCCCTGGGAAGTCGAAGTTCTGTATCTGTGTGTGTTGGGGCCAAATGTGACAAAGCCCAGGTGTTTGAATCCAGTTTGTGTTTTGCAATCACTATGACAGTTTACTTGAACAAACCAGGAATTGGCAATTCGGTTCAGCCTTAGTATGAACTGGTTGGTACATTGGTAACCAAAACGCTTTCTATACGATGGGTCCGGGTTCAAAACCCGGACGAAACGGTGGATATGCATTGCTGTTGAGCTTCAGTAGGGGCAAAACTCGGTTCTGGTGCTTCCCAGTGTATGGTTGACTGCAAGAACTGAGGATTGTGCGTGAAGGTGAAATATGAAGGATGATTAGTTCAACTCAATATCAGTTATCCCACACCGCTAATCACAAGTAACTGTGATTAAAATGAGAAGTATTAGCTTGTTAATTGTCTTGATAAAGTCCTTCTAATGGTTCTAAAACCTCATCATCAAACTTTGTGTTTATCCCATTCTCTTCGGGGTCAATTCTAACATTCTTTTGCGGATTTGATCACTTATTGATTGTATGGGATTGACCTCTTGAATTTGTTTTCATTTTCTGTAACAATCTATCTGTAACAATTAGCTTTCCTTTGTGAAATCTATTTAGGACTCTCAAAGAGCGTGTTATCTGTGTATCTTCATTCTGATTCTTTCTGTCTTCTCCTGCTCCCAAAGCACTCAAAGGGTCGAGATCCCAGAACCACCGTTTACTATCCAGAACCGCTGTCGGACGAGGAACCGGATGAGAATGCAGTCAGCTCAACCAGTTCCATGGATTTACCCTACTGGTCTGAACGTCTGCTCAATGACATGCAATCCAAACCAGCCCCACCAGCCGATGCGCAACGAACTGGTGTACCATTCGGGCAGAGTAAACCGTCAGCTGCATCCGCTCAACTGTCCGAATCGCAACGTGACTGGACCACGGGTGGGAAACGACGCAAGTTTCGTCTGAATGATAACCATCAGTATCTCCTACTGGTTAATAACGACCGTGCTGAATCGAAGGAGATCCGATATAATCGATATTTGGAAACACGTATCCTGTTTGAACGGACCATTGTCACTTGGGCTAAGGTGATTTTCTCTCCTGCTTATATTCGCTTCTTCGGCGATTTAAAGAAATTGGAAAGGTCAACTCAGTTTGGTTGCTTCAGCAGTTGCCTATGCATTAGTTCTGCAGAATATCCACTCCCGACTAGGCTCAGGGTGAAACGGAACGCGAGTATAAGTAAATATCTTTGAGTAAACGCTTACTTCCTGTTCCGGGTTTAATTCCAAGTATGATTGCGGCTATCGTACTAGTGACAATTGGATGAGGAGCACCTGGTCGGAACAGCAATTCTTGGTTGTTAAACTGCTATCTCTCTTAGGATATATTCCACCTGTTTGGTGTTCACAATTCAAAATAACACTCACCCGAATCTGGACGACATGCCGAGACATGCATCAGCTCCTGCTTTGCAGCAAACCGCTCGACAGAAGGAATAACGCAGTTTGAGGTCTGAAATTGTCGACGGGTTTTCCAATGACGTGAAAATGGTCACTTGTTAATGGGAGGACCAGACCAACTGTCTAGTCAAACGCCAATGAGGGAAAATCGGTCAAACTAATGGGATTGCTTGAATTAATGGGGATGAGAATGAGCCTCCTCAGAGAGCCACCGGTAATCACACACGAGCACACTACCGGCTAGCAGCCTGCAAGATAGAGGCTGAAGATGTGCCTTTGAATAAAGCCCAGTCAAGTTGGAGACATATTGTGCCAAGACTTGGTGCAATTTCATGTTACTTAAGAAGTCATGTTTTGCATGGCAAGAGATTAGCAGAAGCTAAGTGAAATTAACTACTGGTGACGACATCCCGTCAAATTCAAACAGTTGCATATTGCTTCACAACAACTCCTTTCAGGTTTCTTTGGATTAGTATTACTGAGAACCAAATCAGTACTTAATTCGTAAGTTAGTTTACTAATAAAATACTTGACTGTATGGAGGATTAGAATAATTACTTTTCGTTCTTCCCTTGTTCAGCCCACAACACGTTCATCAACCACGAGCTTAAGTTCGAAGACCGCTGAAACTTCTGCAAAACAAGGATCAGTCGATAAGAAGAACACCGCTGGAAAATTACCCAAGGTACCATCTGTTATTTCCTCCCTAATCCATTATTACATCCTCTAGCCTAGTATAGACGCTCCAGCAATACTAGGTACCAAAAAACCCCGCGCTTCTGTCGCGTTACCAAGCCTCGTAGATGGACTATTTGATGGAGGTGATCCAGTCGCCCCTCGAATTCACTCGAAGCAATCAATAATTCCAGGGGATACCGATCCGTCCGTCCCGAACAGGTCACTTGGTCGTGACGGTGAGTCCTTGGTCCCGCGAAATCTATCCTCCGTGGCCGGGGCCATGATTACCCCGGAACGAATGGACACACGCGGCTCGCATGCAAGTATGACTGAAACGCAGACCACACCAAGTGAAGTCATCGCAAAAGTGCCCATTTGTGGCATTGTGGCTGGCAGTGGATCCTCCTTGATCGAACATGTGTATGCGTCAGTGACACTGAATCGTTGTCCGATGGTAATTGTCCGGGTAAGCTGAATTTTCGTGCACGAATTCCAATCGATGGTTCAAAATGTGCATGCCATACTTGTGTACTGAGTTCAGTGGCGTTTGTATGTAACGAGGGAATATGCACCATAGCAGTAGCCGTGTTGCTACCAGTCAACTGATACGAAAACATTCTTTCGCATAACACATTGTCACATCTTCATTACTAACAATACACTGCTAATTCCTTCCCTGCATAAATCGTGGTTGTTCATTCATAAGTATGGTTCAGGAAAATCAGTTCAGCCAATGAAACAACACTGGCAGTGGTGCAAATAACAACGCCTTTCCTTGCATTCTTACGATGGTTAAGACAATCCTAACATGTCTATTCGAAACAAGCTTGGTGTTAATGTTTCACTGTACTATCAATACCAAAATTATCGTGACAGTCAATATTTTCCGTTAGGTTCCATTAATACGAAATGCAGCGAAACGCTGTTGTTTGTGCCCTGTGTTGATTTTTGTCACGTGGCAATCTTGTACCGCATTACTCTTAGTATAGCCGGTCATAGAAACATACATAAAACCTTCCTATTGCTGTTAAGCTCAACGTATTTAAATGCATTTACCTCATGGTGAATCAATCATCTCTCAAGGAGTGAAACCCATACCCCAGATCATCAACGGTGCCTGATACCTATGAAAAAACATAAAGACCTAATCCAAACATTCGTCGTTTAAATTAATCGGGCCCTTCACACAAGATGACAACCGTCGATCGCCTATCAAAACTCAGTCCCGTCGGAGTGAACTGATTTCTTCATAGACAAACAAAAGTACTTTTTGAGTGAGTTCCCAATCGAGGATGAAAGTTCCCGTGTCGGGTGGGGATTGACTGTTTGTTCCCCTTCCCTCCCCCCCTGCCCCGCCCCGCGACATTCCCCACCTGGGCACGTTATGTCCTTGATTGTTGATCGTGTGAACTGTAGACGAGAATGCACAAACTCGATGGTAATTAGCTTCGGTCGACCAAGTAAGGAAGCGAATCACGTCCAAATGGATCAATAAATCGGTCACCACGGTCAGGTGTGAATTTTGGAATGAGTCATTGCATGAGTGGGTTCAATCTATAGACCCACGGGAACGGCCCGAAGATAATGAAAGTGACCCTCGGAACGCCAGAAATGGCGAACTTCGTATTGCAGTCGTGGAAGGATAATAGAAAAAGGGGTCCGCCGGAATTACGCCTAAGACTATTACATAATACTGGATACCAGCAAAGTCCGAAAACGGCAACCGATACTAACACGCCACCTTCCTCCACTAGCGCGGTCTTTATCAATCCACGTTCACCAAGCAGCACCGAGGAAGCCAATTCTACAAAAAAACATTGTTAGCCGACCCCAAGTTGGTCGGCAGAAACAACACTACATACCCAGATAGATTTCTTTGCCGAAGATATCTTTCATGTTTTTATACCAATGCACGAGGTTACCTTAGTAAATTCTCCGAGATGGAACTTCGTTGGAAAACTAATCGATTTGACATTGTTGCCGTTACTGAAACCTGGCTGACCACCGACATTCTCGACTCGGAATTGCTTCTATCTGGAATGTCGCTGCTCAGAAGTGATCGTCCTACACGAGGCGGTGGAGTGCTGCTTTATCATCGAAACAATCTACAGTGTGAACAGATTGATATTCTCGACGCAGGCCCCGATTCGTTATGGTGTTCAGTAAGACCCTCAAAAAATGATAGATGTCTAATCGGTGTTGTGTATCGACCTCCCGCATCTTCAGACTTAGCCAACGAGATTTTGTTGCAAACCATGAGGAATGCGTTATCACTAAATTTCACCCATGCCCTCATAATGGGTGACTTTAACTGCCCCAATCTCATAAGATCGAGGACTTCCCGCCAGCCATTCAAGAAACAATTATCTCAGTTGATTGAATTGCACCCACTGTACAACCACGTAACAGAACCCACCAGATTTGGAGCAGGTCACAAACCATCAACACTGGATTTAGTGCTGACTAACGAGGAGCTGATGGTGGAATCTGTCAATGTCACGTCTCCACTAGGATGTAGTGATCATGCCGTATTGATGTTTGATCATATAGGCTACGCATCTACCCAAGAAAACCGAAAGAGCAGTACTCGTGCCATCATAGACTACAAAAAGCTGCAAAACCTGGCAATAATTAGGCATTGGGTCCTCCCGGAGGATGATCACGATCCTTTGGTGGCATGGAAAAGCTTCACTGATTATCTTACCGAAATTGTAACGGCTGCAACAAGTTAAAAAGCTTGTGCTAAATCCAAAAACTCGTCATTCATTCATTCGCAGCCGAACAAAGAAATGGATAGAGCAAAGGAACGTTTCCTGGCGGGAGTACAGAAGATGTTCATCTATCGAAACTTGGAATAACTATTCCTTACTGTGAAATCGATATACCAAGTTGGTACGAGAGGACAAATTGATGTACCAATAAACCCTGGCTCAAAAATTCATTTCTGATCCAAAATTGCTCTATAAACATATCAATTCTACAAGGAAGGTGAAACGCGGAATACCAGCATTGAGATCGTGCGGAAATGTTTCAACTACCACTCTAGAAGCAGCTGAGTTCCTCAAAAAACAGTTCGCTCAGGTGTTTATTGCAACGACACACGAAGCACTACAGATTCCAAGCAAACTACCCTATATACCGTATCCGTCACTGGATAACATACATTTTGACAGTGAGAAAGTTAGAACAAAACTATTAACTTTGCGTAAGAATTCATCCCCAGGTGCGGACAATATGCATCCCCGGACTCTGATGTCGCTAGCCAATAACATTTCCAAACCTCTGGCTGTTCTTTATCAAAGGATGTTCAACGAGGCAGTAATTCCGCAGGCATGGAAGGAAGGGGTGATTTCTCCCATTTACAAAGGGGGATCTCGCAGTGATCCAGCCAATTACCGCCCTGTTACACTTCTTCCGATATTGTCGAAAGTCATGGAGGCTATTGTGTCAGATCTGTTGATGGAATATCGTGGATCGAATACTATGCTTACCTCTGCTGAAGATCCCTTGGAGCAACCGGTACAAAGCTATCATCCTTTATAGAATCATGGATAACTGTGAGTTATTCTCACCACCACATGTTTCACTCATTGAGCTATGAGGATATGATAGATGGGATCAGGCTGTGAAAAGGTGCGATGCGGATGATAAACGACGTAACAAGGATGATAAAATATGCGTGTAACAAAGAGAGAAGCTGTGGTTGACAGGTTGCTGCCATTGGCATTGTGGATAGAATACAGTAATTAATCCGGGAGTTACGGAGAACCAATGTAATTTCTGTTAGCTAGTGAATGAGTTCAAATTTAATCTTGCTATTCGGGTGAAATACTGTTAGTTCTTTAATTGTATCCATGCATCATTGCTAAATATCTCATTAAGTGTGTATCTAAATGTCAGAAACTGGTAGGTAGTTGTATTTGGCTCAAAGAAATCGGTGTTATTCGAGAGGACCTCGGCCTCAATGCAATTTGCTTACTAGGCTACTGAGGGGCTATAGATTGAACCCACTCATTCAATGATTCATTACAAAATTCACACTTGACCGTGGTGACCGACTTATTGATCCATTTTGTTGTGTTCCTGGTTCGATTCACTTAATGTTGACAAGGTATGGTAGTAGTTTCTCCTCCCAACCAAAGTGCGGCTTGCATGTAGCATGGATAACTGTTACCCGGGCAACTTGTGCAAAGGATTCTGGTGTGCTTTTTTAGCAAAACTGATGGGCTATATTCCACTTTTATGAAGAATTTTGTATCATTGAAGAACCGTCCCTATCCTCTTGTTGAACCTTAATTGGATATACTCGTCTGAAATATTTTTGCATTTTCTGAGTTGCCGCTGATTTGATGATCACTTTGACCGTTAGATGCTCTCAACGTACAAATTAGATAGAAAACTTTTCTCGTTCCTGCCGTTTTTTTACAACATTTTATTCTAACAGAAATTCGTTTAAAGTGAGAAACAGATCACATTACACATTCCCCGGGAGGAGTGTTCCTCCTGAGATTCCATAGGAGCTTCATAATAATCCTATGTTTGTTTGTTGGTTCGTTGGATCGCAAAGATCCCGAAGTAGCAGGAATTTATCCTCACAAACGCTTTAGCTAACTTGTCTCGCCCATTCATTCACAGACGGCATACTTCAAGGAGTAGTTTAGATCATGGTGGGGGCGAGAAAAAGCAACCATAACTGGTATCCATAAAATTGGTCTCTAATACCCTCATTCATCCATGCATTCATCGCGTATCAGAATTGCACCAACACGTGGTTTATGAACGCGACGACTCTGTCATTTCACGCTTCAATCACACGCTCCTCCCTCTGAGCATTTCCTTCTAATTAAAGAGAATCCCTTAATCATTTAGGACCGTTGTCGTTTTCTTGTGGCAAACAGCTATATCGTTGAAAGATAACATGTCAACTTTTATCTCTCGTCCCTGTTGAACCTCATAAATATCATGATTCTTTTTTCCCTTGGACAAATCAGCATGCGTGCATCGGACTAATGGTTTTCACTCTTTCATTTTATAAATGAAATGTTTCTTGGGCGGTGCTGGCCTAAAGTCAAGTCTGATTCGTTCGTTCAAATAGACAAGCTCAATTGTGGTCAGCGGTAAAAAAAAGTGTCACCTTACTCAGTCAGTTCCGGATCTATGTGGTGTGAAAGGCGTTATGGCCTTTGGAGGACTAAAAAATTCTATCATTTGTGAGTGATTTCTTTTTGGTGGTCATAAAAAACATCCTCTCCTCTACAGCTGACCACGATTTTTCCCGCTCTCAGGACTACAGGCATAATGAATGTCATTTTGATGGGACTCCATCGATCGCCTTAAAATTACCCACATTTAAAGGAAATAGAATTTTTCAAAGAACCGCTCATCGACCACACCAGTTCCTGCGTTGATTTGGTTATATTCCAAACACTGACAATCAATTGAATGCGACCCATACGGGTAAACGATGTGGCAATGCTGAAACTTGTTGATGTATTGCGAAGGATCTGAATGGAAGAACTTTTTCCGGATAGCTGTATTCTACAACTGCCTACTTCAATGTATGTTAGTAGTCAGTTTCGGTGTAATCGACCATTTTTACACTCATGTAGATTTTCTACTTGGATCTTATTTTACCGACCATGGGCACACTTCTTCCGTTTGGGTTTTGATTCTGAGTGTACACGATCATTGTGTAGCTCACATCCTGTAGCAAAATGAGATTTTTACCATATTGCAACGAGAAGGTGAGTCGGCTGATAAAACCTTTATTGATCAAATTCGAAAACAACCGGTGTATGCGTTCGATTATACACAATCAATTCTCAACCGCGCGGCAAGATGATTCATGCCTCATTCTGTTGTTCCATTCCTGTTGGTTTTGTTCCGCACTTGGCACGTACGTTTCCTCTTCTTTCGCGTGCCGTTCCGACTGGTTTGACCCGATCGTAGCGCGAGATACGTTGATGGACAGCTCCGACATTGTGGTATTCGGTGGATATCTTTCTGGCTAGATGTGGATTGTCCGTCGGGCTGTAATTGTCGATTCGTTCGTTTTGAGTGGTAGTCCACATTGTCTCGCGAAGTACTTCCAGCCGCTACATATGCGCATCTGGTTGGATGGGCCCTATTCTTGATTCGATCGCCAGCCGGGACTCTCTTTGTATCACCTTCCATCACAATATTTTCAGATTTCGGAGCAATGGAGCATAATAGTTGCCACGGTTTTTGTTAGATCAAATCTGTTACCAAGAGAAATATGACTGAGTTCCTCTAATCCCGAGCGGGGGGTATTTAGGGAAATGGGTTATTCGCTTCTTTCAGTGCAAATTAGCAAATCAGAGTGGACATATCTAATGCTTCATCTGTTAGAAACTACTGAGTGCCACATTAATGTATTGTGCTTTATTTCAGGGCACCGGGGGCATGGCTGATGTGATTGCAAACGTAATGGATTTCATGGCCTTTAAGAATTCATTCGAAGAGAATGTGATCACGGATGAGGAAATCGATATGAAGTACGTTCACATATGATCCGCAGATATCAAATTGTCTAATCATTCCTCTCGACGAGTGTAAGTTGTGAAACTGTTTTATTTCCTTGTCTCTTCCTTTCATACTATGTATCTATCAGAATCGCAAGTATCATCCACGAAACACGGACAGAAGCTCAAGGTCAACCACAAGGTGGTCGCGCCAGAGGCAAGAAATTCCAATCGCGCACAAAAGAGGCTCGCCTGGGAGAAAAACGTGACGGGGCAGATGGTGCACGAACCACGGAGGGGCAACAAGCTGCCAAACCGAAAGCAGTAAATTTGAAAGCATACTCTCGGTTAGTTGAATTGTTACGGGATTTGACCGAGAACTACGGACATCTTCTATCTGTGTTTGACAGTGAGGACACCGATCTGGACGGGTACATGATTTCAGCCTTGTTGAGTAGTGGTGAGTTTCTGTCCTTCTGTGGAGGATGTTTTGTTTTCGCCAAAGTGGTTTGTGGGGGGCTTGATTTCGCTACTCTTCATGTAGCCTGGACATGTCACTCATCACTGAAAAGTCTTGAAAGCACTGTACAGTTATTTTATTTTGCTTGTTAGAAAGCATCATACAATGACAGCGACGGATGGTCACTATATCAAGTCAATTCAGATGAACACTCAGCTACTGCACAATCACTCATCTGTGGAAACGGTATGGTAAAAACAAAAAGAATGATGATAAGCAGCATATACAAACCAATGAGGCAAATTCAGCAGTTTGTGTTTAAGAATCTCAATGATAAGATCAGCGTTAGTAAGAAACCGTGCCAAGTACGGTATTACAAAAGACTTGTAGGTTGTGGTGCGTGCTGCTATACGCTTATACTTGGAGCGAATGCCAGATGTAGAGATACAATCACTAAGATGAGAGTACAGAGGGTGAGATGAGGTCTGGTAGTATTCTGGTAGAAAGTTTCTGGAAAGCCCTAAAGTGCTGTGAAATAATAAACTGTACTAGATGCTCGCCAGATATACCACTGTATCGACATACGTGCTTGATGGATGTACGTATGAGTTTGCAGTCTTTGATTAAAAGACCCAGAAAAATAACTGGGAATGGATAAAGCCAGTGGGAAAGGATACAAGAGAAGACAAAACGTTTCATTAAATGAGTTAGGGTAGATGGCATTTATAAACGAATAATGTAAAAATTGAGATTTCTGACTTCGTGAAATGTCTCGACGACATGAAGAGACCAAGATTGATTGCGGGAAATGATGACTCCGAGGTATTCGATGAAGCACGGTCTGGAAACTTGTTCTACATTGATAATGACATGCTGACAAGAGTTCATGACATCAACGTATTGGTCACCCTTCAACAAAAAAATAAAACATTATTACACTTGGAAAGATTCATTCAAAGATTGTGTTGTGAAGACCAGTCGGTGAGCAGTGAAATATTCGGCATAAGTTTGGGGTACACGGAGGAGTTCAAAACACCATGCCATGTACAACATCATCGGCATACTTAATGAGCAGACAATCATCAAAAGCAGGCATCGAAGAAAGAAAGGTTGTAAACAAGAAGAGAGAGAGAATAGTGCCTTAAAGAACTCCTTGAGTGGAGGGTAAAAGTGAAGTGTTGCGACCCTTAAATTTAGTAAACTGTAATCAATGAGTGAAATAAATAAGTAGCATATTAGTAAGCTCCGGCTGCACACCCTTCCTAGAGAGAGTGTGAAGAAATTTGGGCCTATCAACACGATTGAAGACGTCGTTATAATCAACGAAACACAGCTTTACATTTTCGTTCATATGAAGAGCCCTATTGAATGAGGGATGCCATCGATTTGATGATCGAACTTAAATTTCAATCGGCAAATCGAGTGGGATCAGGTGCATTCAGCTGGGACAACATTTCTCGTTCCACGACTTTCAAACCAACAAACGTGCAAGCAATCGGACGAAGTTTAGAAGTTCCTTTTTGGTTACTGGCGTAATAGAAGCCACTCGCCAGCAGTCCGAAATGCAATTCTGAGTAAAACACAGGTCGGTGAAACTGGGGAGAGGTAAACTGCACGTTCTTTGAGCAACACAGGTGGCAGTCCGTCAGAACCGCATAATTTAGCAGATTGCAGACTGATGAAAGTTTTGAATACTTCTGTTTGGTCCGTAATTAAATTAGCAACATTAGGAGAAGAGCCGACTGCTGTGCATGGAACGGGGGCGTCGGTTTCAGCATTGCTGAAATGGCGATTGAGATCGTGCACGTTGGTTGCTGGCTGATTGTCATTCGTTTTGAGACCACATAACTAAAACAGCATTTTACATGTATTGCGATGACTCCTGTTGGCCAGCAGTACATGTACATAAGCGACGTTTAATCTCCACAGTTCCAGATTGATTGCTTTCTGGTGGTATGTTACCAAAGAGTGCTTTTTCGCCTCGAAAGCTTGTTCTTTCTTCAGACGTAATCTTTTATGTGTAGGGGACGAGAAACGGTCTGACCGTACTAATAAAGTTTCCAACGGGCAGCACGTATTATAACGGAAATTCAAATATTCAGTCAGGTTATCACGGAAGACCAAGTGTTCATTATAGACAAATAGAAAGACACCTGTCTGATCTAATATATCTTTTAGTTGGTGGGGTTTTCGGGCTGACCTTGTCGCCGAAGATAACGATGCCGAGTGTAGAATTGATGAATGGGTCCACTGTAGATCACAGGAGATAGTTTAAGTGTTGCATGATCAGAGGTGCCAGCAGGAGAACGGCTGCGCAAGTTAAATAAATTCAGGTCGTTAACGAAACACCGATCAAGACAAGCCCGGAGTCTGGTCAGAAAGTTAACAATGTTCAGTAATCCAAGGGTAGTAAAAAAAAAAGAAATCAAACCTAATTATGTCACCACACACGATGCAAATGAAAGAGTGTGCGTAATTTAGTAAAGTGGTGGAGAAAATGTCTGTGACTTCAAAAATGATTAGCCGAACTAAAAGGAAAAAGGTAAATGTTACCAAAAATAATGTTCCGGTAGTTACTGAGGTGTTCAGGTCTACATTTGTACAGAGAAGTAATGATAAAAATAGTAGAATACACGAAAACTCCATTTCCTGATTTGCACCAATGGTCATTTTTGTGACTGGCGGTTTCTTCCAACCGTCTAAAAATGAACAAAACTTATTGGAGCGAAATGCTGTGTTTAGTAAGGTAACTACAATAATAGACATCCACTACCGGACCGTTCCATTAACCATTCTGTGTGAATGTGGGAATTCTGAAAACTCGTTCCAAATGAGATACTTTGTTGTATGAATGTCAATTTACCGATAACCTGACCGTTATTCCTAATAAATAACCATCCTCGTCTGGGCACCGTCTCGTGGATTTTTAACAGTAGTATCACACCTCCAGTAAGTCGTACCCAATACGTCCGTCTATCCAGTACCTCGATCATTCCAAGTAGAGGTTATCCAAACTTCCGACTGCTTTACCTATCTTCCAGTAACTTTCTGCTGAAAGTCTTTCAGTTGTTAACCGATAATGTATTGCATTTCATTCCACTGGAGCTTCCTGTTACCTAACTGATAAAAACTACTATTTCAGGCTACGGATTTCATGCGACAGAGATTTGGTTACTCAATCCACGTCACCTTTTTGATGCAGATCACGAAATCGCCAATTAGTCAGGTTCGCAAAACCAACCAACCCAGTTTAGCAGCTTCGAACACCAATACAATACTGCAGTGCAAAGCCTATCATTCAATGAGAAAGGAAAGAGCCAGTGACAGAATTATGAGGGAACAGAATTATCAACACACATTCGATAACACTAATCAAAAGTGACTTCGTGTTAAAGTGACAAATCTAAAAAACTGATGAGAGCTAGTCACTAATACGGACCAGTAGTCTAACAGGACCTATTTCGAGGGGTTTAACACCATGGAACAGTATGGGTATGGGCTCTGATCCCTGTCACATGTGTATGGTAGCTGAACTATGAAAAATACTTCATTACCCTTTTGAAACATCGTTTATTTTTTAAGTATTGTTGTGTAAAAAACCGATTGAGTGCTAATTACCACAGAGTACCGATTGGGGTCAATGCTGACCAATCTCAGGTTCATAGCGTTGCACTTCCAGTCCACGTGTGTACGGACAAGATGGACAGCGTGTTTTCATGGTGCAACTACTCCACAACCAATCATCTGTTCCGGTCACTTGACTGAGTCTATGCAAAGCTAATATCGGTACAGATGTTTTGATGCTTTCCCGCCTATGCCCACAGTCCATACGGTTTGATCACCATAGATAGATAGTTACTCTCATCCTGAAGACCGGTTCGGATTGTTAACTTACATATGAAACAAACGGATTGAGTTTGGACTAAAATTTCCCGTGAAAACTGACCTTCATGTGATTAAAATTTCCCTTCAGCTGGGAAAATTTAAAGGATATTCCATATAAAATCGTAGTGCTGATTCCCAGGTAGAAAGAAAGCTGTCAGAGAAGAACCCTCCGAGCGAAAATTGAAGTCCGATTTTACTACCCAATCCACGATTTGAGATGATGCAGTGGACATTTCCAGTTTGACACAAGTGATCAAAGCGTCGAGATCCTGTTATCATTGCTAGAATACATATATATATATATATATATATATATATATATAACATCGGCTTATAGATAAGACTAGTGCCAAAGACATAACAATAATAACAATAACAATCATAGGGAGCAGGAAGAAATAATCCAATAAAAAAATAAATGAAATGTGGTCAGACGGAGCGTGAGATAATAATGGACCACATGGTGGACACCAAACATTTGACATTCTATCTGTATGGGTTCTTAAGAGTCATGACAACACAGTTTGTGCATGCTGCTTGAATTATACCTGGGATACTGCAGGTGATCATTCATGTTTCCCAGTTTTTTCGAAAAAATCTTGTAAGTATTCTAAATCAAATCAAACTTATCAGCGAACTGTGATATATATGGTTATTTTCAAGCATTAGAATAGGTAACCGACTTCATTCGAAAGGTTTTTGCAAGCCGATCTCATTTCAAATTACCGTTGTTTCCTGTAAGATTGTTTATCTTTACCAAAAGATGAATTTCAAGTCACTTATCACAAATAATGGTTTCCCCACTAGTTAGTATGCCAGAAAGATACTATGAAAACAAATAAAATCTCAGTTTGAATAAAAATATTGCCGAAAAAAGCGTTCTTTAAACAAAAATACTTATTTTTGTGCCTTTACCTAATTTCAGCTGGCTTGGATACACCACGAAACGAACTCAATTTGGATCAACTGGAAATCGCCATTCGACTAAATCGAGCAGATATTGCCCGAACCAAAATATTCCTAGAAGGAAAACATTGGAAGGTAAGTGTTTGGGAGAGAGAGCCCCAACTGGCATTTTCATAATGTAAATTTGAGGAACGCAAAGGTTTCTGATGCTTCAGTGTGATTGCTCGCAGATTTGTTTACCTGTTCTTCTGCCAGTCGGTTTATCTGTCTGTCTGTTTATCCGTCTGTTCACCTGGCTCGTTGTTTTCTGGTTTGATATTCATTTAAAAGTAGCAAAAACAATAGCTGCAAAAGTACTGAAGCATCACGATTTGACAGAAATTTCCGAGGGACACAGTCCCCAATTTATTGTAACTTCCAGACCAGTAGGCAATGTCTAATCTACTTCGTGTTTTGCATCACCTTCGACCCGATTGTTTTAGAACGAAATTTACCAGATCGAAGGTGATATATCGTCAACTGTGTGTATGAACAAGCTTCATGTGTTATGTAATTGCATTTAACTCACAGTCACTCGTGAGTAGTGGTGTGGGATAATTGTTATTGGCTGATTTGAACTGACTATCCTTTGAACTTCACCTTTGCACATAATACTCAGGTCATCGATTCAACCATATATACTCGAGTTTTGCTCTTATTAGAGCTCATCAGTAATGCACATCCATCGTCCCGTTTGGGATTTTAACTCCGGACCCATCGCATTGAAGGCGTGTGCTTGTGTGTGTTATTTAATCATCCAAATGCTTTTAAACATTGAACTTTGGGGTGTGGTTGACAAATTACTACATAATGATGACATCCTCATTGGTGCGGAACAGTAACGTGTATTTGGGAGGCAAATCTATGATGAATGACTACCACTTGTTCTCTGGTTGCCAGTTTCGTCGTTGACGAGCTAATAAAAATGTACACTATTCTCACCAATCATTGCACCAGTCACCAGTCATTGGCTTACGGGAAAAATGACTGATTCTAATGACGCGATCACTTACCACGGATGAACATCCGAATTGAGGGGACCGCACAGTGATATTCCTCAGATAGGATTTGTTGAACAGTGTCGCTTCCCACAATCACAGAAACGATGATTATTCGTGGGCGTGTGTGAGTGTGCCTCAATCACACCAAAAGTAAAGATGAAAAGTAAAATCTGACAGTTTATGAGTCCCAGTGATCTTACGGTGTGGTGCATGACTCGTTATCACCCATCCCATGCCCCGCAACACACCCAATCACGTGCACACCATCTCTCCGGCATCGGGAAACGGCAGCGTGGTGGTTTGGACGATTTCATGTTCACCGTGATTCTGAACGATCAGAACGATTTTGTCAGTCTGCTGCTGGAGAACGGATTCAATTTGGAAGAGTTTCTCACGGTACATACGCTGGAACGTCTGTATACGGAATTCTTGAAGAAAACAGTAAGTCCATTGGGTTCAATCCTCATTGTGTCCGTACGTGTGTGTGTGTGGTTAGTTTCAGCCAATGTGTTATTTGTCCATATGGTTTGTATGTGCGAGAAGTTCAATATGACAGGCTTTCTAGTCAAGTTAGGAACACAAGTTAACACCTGTCACCGTTTTGATACTCGTAAACTATTTATCGCAGTCTCTTATGATTTGTCCAGATCCCACAAACAGAATACGAATACGGTGCCGGAAAATCTAAGCTGGAAACCATCTTAGCAACCGTCCCAGTTAAGAGAACGTTCAAGAACAAATTAATCTAGGTATTTGTGATTATGCATAAAGTAAACACATTCCAACACTGCTTGTCAGTCACTTTGCTCTTCCGTGATTATTTTACAGTAGTAGTGTTAGGGAAGTTATGTCTGATTTTTACGGACCAGGTTTCAGATGTCACCATCACACATCACCTCGCCCCCGTGTTCCTGCAGTGAGCCATGCACTGGGGACCTGTTAGTTTCGAGTTCCGTTCATCAATGATGCATATATATCAGACCACCCAGTATTTGAACCTGCAGACCTCACATATGGAAGAACTGTACGTGTATCAGCATCCAATTTACCTCCTTACCCCCCCCCCACTTACCTACCTATTTACCATCTTATGTCGGGTGTGATCAGAGTAACCGATTAATTTTCAATTCTTGGCAGGTAATAACTATTGAAACACAATTCTGAGATGGACCGCATGCGATAGGAGCTAGCTAGAGTTGTGTGGAAAATTCAACCATGCATTTACACAAGCAGCGAAAGCTCATGGCCGTACCACCACCGGGAAAAGGGTCTGAAATATAGCCTTAAAAAGATAGATGATTAACGTTCATTTGGAAGATATTTTAATAAAATAAGAGCCGGTTGTCTAGTAATTGCAACATTAAGCAAAGCACCGACCGCAGTAGTGCAGGCTACTTGTTATAGGACCTTGGAAATTCATATTAAAGTTTCTCATTCAGTTCTGGGAACAAATACAGCGATATAACACACCGGTCATGTAATGGAAAGACAGCGTGGCATTTACCCTATAAATTCCATCAGCTGGCTGCTGATCGTTGAAAATGCTGCGGGCTGATGTCCCCGTATTGTACATTGATTCCCTTCCTGTTCACCGTAGGACAGCCGATTCACCTGTACGGACAACTTTGGATCAGACTGATTCTGTTGAATGAAGCCCAGACGTGGAGCGCAATTCCAGCGTGATTGAAAACAGAGTGAAACCAGGCTGTTTTTCGGCTCAACTGCGCATGAATTAGACCGCTTATCTAGCGATACGGACATACCCGAAAAACATTTACCGCGAGCCACATTCAGAAACTTTCACACGTTTACCTGCTCTTGCGAAGTGAGGTAGATGGGCGAAACAAGAGGCAGCTGTCGAAGAGGATTCGCGAACACTAATCCCACTGGTTGAGACAGGGTGAAACTAGACAACGCCGAACTTGGTTAATATTGATAAAACTTTCTGCATCATTTACCAAACGCCTTCAGTTACCCTGAAAACAATTCAGTTTATTATCGTATGCACAAGCGAGACGAACTCTATCTAAAAATCGGCAATCAGGGAGAGCTCGTTTGGACTCTATTTTTGGCATGACCTCGTATGATGAAACTCGATAATGCATCCCTGAGGAGTGCACCAACGATCTAGCTCTTTAGACAAAAATATGATGACAGTCGGAGTTAAACATTTTAGAAGTGCCTGACTGGAACCACACCTTATGACCCTAAAGCAAAAATGCGGGTTGGTGGACCGCCTTGTTTCTCAATTTCTGATCAAGTGCATAAAATAAAAATGATACTCCATCGTTTTCTGTTTGGTGTGGCATTTACATATTCTGACATGCTTCGAATCTCCGAGAAAAAAGTAATTTTCCTCTCTCACCTCACCCCGATTCCCATTGATGTCGTTTTCACATTAGGATTACAAAACCGGCTTATTTCAACAGTTGTGGAAACGTGCTCGAATCTATAAAATGGAATGGGTCATGCTTCGGGATATCGGTCGAATTATCAAAAATTTGGTCGGCGATTTCTATCATCCGTTGTACCTGTCCAAGAAGTTCCGCAACACCGTCGTTGAACGTGGAGCGCACGATTCTAGCGATGAGGATGACATGGATCTGGATAGTTCACAGTTTAAAGGTCAGTGGCGTACTGATTACGGTATGTGATTATCGATCTGCTGGCGGTTGTTCGATCGACATGCCTATGATTGTAATGTTTCGTCTGAATGAATGCTTAAGTGGCAATCACAATAAACCCTGACTACCGCATGCATAAAAAATCTCTTGTCAATCCACCTAGTTTACAACGTGCTCGTCTGCTTGTTCCCTTTGAATGCTAGTAAATGTGCTTTGTAACATGGATACCTACCTGGATTTGCGCAGAATCCGCAGCTCTAGCTTCCTTGCTTCTCACTTAGCTGTATAAAATTAGTGATCAGTTAGTTAACCAACAACATTCAAACCCGATGTTTCAGTTCCACCACCACAGCTCATATACGTGCTTACAAGAGCCATGTAGGTGTGTGGCTGTGTTCTCCAGCTCGCCTTGCNCCTTGCGAGCATAACACTCAGTTCGAAGACATTGATGCGCTGGAAATTGGTAATCCGTGTCCATTGGAGAATTGGATCATGAAATCATGGACCATACTAAATGTGTCATGGTTATTCGCTTTGGTTCACACCGTAACGCGGTTAGGGTGTCCAGATTTCTGTCAGCACTAGCACAGGTTGTCAAAGTCTTAAACATAATTCATTCGCTGATTTGAAATCATCCTGGAGGCTGGGTTCGTTCGAGAGGAATCAACCTAATCATAACGCAACTGATCCACCTAGGCTGGTCTCTCTATTCCCATAGACAAAAGTGGGTGCACACAAGCCAGTGACTCCGTAAACAGTTGAGCGAGTTCGAATACGCACACACACTCTGGTTAGGGACTTAAATGAGCCATTTGAAAAGTGCAAAATCGAAACGAATTACTTGGAACTTCCCATCCTCCACACAAATTAAGTTGTTCCGTTTTTTAATGCTTTTTTGTTGCATAATTTGTTGAAGAAAGTGGGTGCTGTTAAGAAGCCAGTAAAGGCCGTCTCCAAGGCAATCAATTGTGGGTCCACTCTTGACTACGGGTGGTAGAATTCACGTTCGCTAGTTCTTGTGAACACAGGCCCTACTACGCGTCCGGTTTAACAAACACTCTTAGTGAACAAATGATCATAACGGACGACATAATTTGTACTTAGGCAGATAAACAATCAACTGCTCAACCTTTGACATGACTCTCAAGGGCGCTGTGAGATAGCAATATGAAAGACTACTATTACCAATAAATAACTAAACGATATCTGTAATTTGACAGGGCTTCCAGATAGATAATCTATTAACTAGTTGGGAGACATATCACCGAATAACACAGCTTCAACTTGGCATTATACACAAAACCTTGTTGCTGCTTCATTTATAAACACTCGAATTAAGCTCAAATAACAATGATTGTTTAGTTGTCCTACGTAACTACGTCCCTAAAGCGTTCTTTTTATGCCGGGATTTTTCCTTCTACTCTGTATGGTCCAGCTCACCTCAAAAAATGAAAAACGCCTGCAATTTCTCCTCCTCAACCAACCTGTGTTCGCCACTGGAGTCGATGAAATACGTGCGTAACTCGGCGCTGGTAGGCCAGTTACGGATACAGCGTGTTACTTCGGTCTCTTCATGTGTGGTGGGGTTGCGTTGAGTCAATCAGTCAGTCGTGATTGATCATGTACTTTCCCACGCACCTCTGTTATGTATTGTCTTCTGGCGGTCATTTTGTGAAAATTAGTTGCCAATTTACCCTGATTTCGGACATACTGGTAGTGGCCCGGTACTAACGTCACCAAATTGTCATCCCCGGGTGATGTGTGTTCGAATCATATCACATCCCTCCTGACTTTTCTCGTCTTTTATTGTGCGGCAGCCCTTCGATTGGACGCTTCCCACTTCCTGAAAGTTGGGTCATTGTGCATTCAATAAAAGGAAATCACACGGAGAAGGGATAAAGAAAAAAAATACTATTTTTAGGAGTTGATACAACCTTTTGGTGGTAAATACTACCCGCACATGATACAATGGTAGTAGGACCTGCACCCAGATGAGTTATTTTTTGTTGCTAGTGATGTGACTGTCAATTGCAGTATCTGTTCCCGTGATCAGCAGCGATAGATTCATTGTATAATACATTTTATCGTACACAGAGCAGATAAAATTTGTGGACTCAAAAATTATGAAGCATTTGACAGCTAATTCGACCTGATTGAGCCTCATCAGCAGAGCGAATGCATGGAATCAACTTATCAGACCGCTCTTCACTGAAAACCCTCATTTTCTCTGTACATGACGAAATTCCCTATATAATCAACTCAACTCCTCCGGCATTCTCATGTAAATTGTTTGTCATTGTTGAGTTACTCCTTACGACACAAGATTCCGCTAACTTCATCCAAAAGTATCCGGAATAAAAATACTAGTGTATTTCTGTAAGAACAGAATAAAATGAGTCAGCATTGATCATCTGAAGTCATGGGATAATGCACAGGATGTGTAACGAGACAGACATTCATGGCTTCCACATATAACTTTTGATACACCTTTTTCATCCCTCACAATGTTCTGCGATAGCGGCTCGATGGAAAACCTATGAAAGCATTCCACACGAGCTGTACATCACCATATCCTTTCCGTTTATCCCCATTTCAATCACAGATTATTGGCACTAACAGTTTCCGGTGTGACCATATAACTATATTTCAACTCTCAATTTAACTGCTCATCAGTAGTTGAAAAATGTACCAGAGATAATTTTGTACTTGAAGCGATCAAGTTGAGTCAATTCACGAACGCTTTATGCACCTAAGCGTTCAATTTTCAAACATTTTGAAATTTCATGTAGGATGTTTATAAATTTCGATAAAAGGGAATTGAATGTAGTAGTACGATTTATCCTGTCACTTACGGAGATACGCTTCCAAATAAAAAAGTTGCTCAAAGTAGTACCTACAATGTCGTAGTATCGAGGTCAAAGGTTTAGGGGCCCAGACATTAAGAAAAAAATCATTTCTGTAAATCTGGAAAAATAAAAACGCAGAATGCGAGCGATCACAACTTTGCGTGCAAGACCAGGGACAACGGTTATCTAGATAAGCCTGTGAGAATAAACAGGCAATAGACGGACTCACTTCCCATTTCATCAGGGGTAACTCGTTCTCTTTGTGGATAACAAAATACGGGTTGAATAAATTACTAATAATTTCACAACATTATAGAAAGAATAGATCTAAAGTTTCCAAAATAAATGGAATATTCATTCAATCGTACTTCGATTATGTTGATTCTCTCCCCTGTACAAGTTATTATTTCACGCATTTCCTAATTTTCCGAGTGGGAATGTGACACCAGTCAAACAGCCAACTGTTAATAAGTGCATATTGAAAAGTAATCCAACTCACTGATAATTTCCTTACGATCAGCTAAAAACACTGAGTCCTATTTTCATTAGCAACGCGTGAATCTTTTTGTGCTCTGGTAGGTGTTAAAATAAATGATCCGATCTCCGGAGTTACATATTTGGCCGTCAAATGCATCGGCATACTCATTCAAGTCATTGTTTTAGGGTAATTCTAAGTGGTCTTTATCGGACCACAGACACTGAATAATGTTTCTTTTTCGAGTTTGCAGGGGACTCCGCTCTTTGGTAGTTAGTTTATTTCGCAGGATTCGAATGCAATCATTGATACACTAATGCAAACGACAATATTCACTGAGTCCGGGATCTTAGCAGAGGCCTACATTTTGTTGTTTTACAGGCACTGTATGCAACGTGAACTCGTGAGGGGCTAGACTTGTCCATGTGTGTTTCCCCAGCTGAATATGAAACCAATTTGGTCAAGATAGTGTGATTGAAATCACTAACTTCATTGAATAAATTTGCTAGTCTCTTTGTTCTCGGTTCAGCGCTAGAATTTCAAACAGAACGCACCAACTTTTTTAAAACGACTTTCACGACCTGGCTTGAATGATAAAACTGTCATAGTATGGATGAGTCGGAACTATCCTGATAAGTAAATTGAACAAAGCCTAATTATAGTGTGACTTATCACACAGTGGTTACACACATCACCAGACCATCCACAAGACCAATCTCCATTGGAACATACCAACATTTCCACAGGAGTCATCTTCAGTTGCTTGACATCTGATAACTCCATCATTCCGTTTGGTTTTCAGGTCGAGAACGATCAAATGGTTTAATTGAGCCCGGGAATTCATCTTCCGCGACAACATCAGCTTCCAGTTTACCGGAAGAAGAAACCGTCTACCCGAATTCCGGACGACCACGCGCACGCAGCACTGAACCCACGGGGTCTCGTTCCACCCTATCCGCGGAAAGTTTGAAGCCTCAAGCCAAACCAAAATCACCAGGCAGTCAATCAAAACGAGATTTAAGGAAATCTCGGCCGGTTGAGTTTGACGATTCGGTCCGGTCGAAAAAAGGTGGTTCCATTGTCACAATTAATNACAATTAATGGGATTGCGAATAGTGGAAGTACCACAGTCACTGGTCGTGTGCCTGCTGAGTTGACCAATGGTAGATCGGTTTCAAATGTTAGTCGAATCACCGACGATGGAGATCAGGTGACTTTGAAAGGTACAAGTGACAGTGCCTCTGATGCCGGATCTGATACCACATTGATCCATCATTCGCGGAAGCCTCGTCGACAAACGTCTAGACCTCAGTCCCGTCCAGTTTCTATCGAACCGCAACCAAATGGTCGTCGTTGTATTGTTCGACCGATTACCGGGTTGAATTTGGGCTATCAACCATATTTGGGATTCACTAATCCAGTGTACAACGGAGATGTGGGATCTGGTCGTAACCACAGTGAGGGGAGGCCCGGACGAGCACAGACAATAGGACGCCGACGTCTCGTCACTATCACACAGGATGGTCAGACAGTGATTATGGCCCCAAAAGCACAGGCTGAATCTACTCGAAATTTGAGCATAGTGAGTTCAAATCAGGCGAATGGGACGGTGAGTCGAACCCCATCGAGCCACGATCTGAGTCACTCCGTACGTTCGGAAGTGTCGAAGCGACCCAGTAAGTCATTCACCTGTGTAATCGGTTTTAGTATTAGTCTATTCAATTATCGCTTAATCCTCTCAGCCCAAAACGTTCTGGTTTACAGGTTTCCTCTTACTCTACGCATTACTTCTTAGTAAGGAAGTTTAAAGGAAGTTCAGATACCTAACTATTTCGCTCGATATGTGGGGGAAAGTAAACGGAGTCACCTGCAAACCGACCTGAGTCACGTCGCCACAGTGTTTAGACAATTGCAATATATAACGGGCAAGAGGTTGATTGGACATATATAGTGGTCCAACAGTTCCAATTATCAGCGGTGTATATATGATCTCAGATGATCAGCGCATGGTCGGGCGAATCAGAACGAGACTTATCTGGTAGACCTCAGAATTGAAAAGATCATCATGCAGTCGAGGTACGAGAACATCTGCCCAAAGAGCCTGTTGCTTCATGGCTTGAATGCGAGGTAATTTTCATAGAAGGAATACCATATATATATGAGGAAGAGTTTACACGGTCGCAAACTTTTGTTAGGAGACGATTTGATCAGAACACTGTTGTTAACAGAGGTATACAGAGACCGGAATTTTGCGACTGGATTGTTGTATCCGTAATAGGTGGATAAAGGTAAACAGACAAGAGAGAGACCACAATGGCAGGATATGAACAGAGATTGATCGGTTTTAATTGTACACTGTGAATAAAAGTGGAGGCATTTTCATTGCAATGATGCGGTATTTGGATACCAAAGTGGGTTTTTTGTGGATTAGATAGAAGTTTCACTGAGATACACGAAAAATCAGTTTAAAGGTGCACACTGGAGAAGTAGAACCAGGCGAATAAAATTCAAGAAGATCGTTATAGTCAGCAATACCTTCATAGGACAGACAGATAGACAAATAGAGAGACTCTGTTTCAAAGTGTATACATGTAAATATATATATATATATATATATGTATATATATATATATATATATATATAAATGTTTGACACCCGCTTGTAGCCAAGCATGGTGCCAACGCTACAACACTAATAACAATTACAATAATAGGGGATAGAGGAATTGGAATACAGAACAGAGCGGAAAGGTGAAACAGTTAAACGCGGGAAAACGGGAGATAACTGTGATAAATGTTTTTTTGTTTCACCGTACACTTTTGATATTTTTGTGTGTTGTTTGTTGCTTTTACGGGGCACAGGACTTCAACAGGCAAAACGTACAGCATTCGCGCCACTGACTTCTATTCTGGATTATATTTCTCAGCGTCTCTAATCAACGACAATCCTCATCCCTTGAACCCCAACCTGGAAGGTAGGCTGCACCAACCGAAGACGAGGTTTGAGCTAGCTTTTTCATACCTCTACGGCATGTCATGGTCTGACCGCTGAGGCGCTTCTTCTAGCCTTGCCCGACATGTGCGGAGAGGGCACGAGAAGGTAGCCAATGCGCAGGCATACGCAATACGTGACCAAGCCATCGGAGGTGGTGTAGAGTGATTACTTATGTTAGAGAACGACTATTGGCACCCAACACACGACGACGAACCTCTTAATTACTCACCGGATGTTCCCACCAGACACGAACAATGCTTCAGATACATCGCTGGTCAGATACAGAAAGTCGATTAGCATCCTCAACGCGGAGGGGCCAGGTCTCACAACAGTCAAGGAGAACGCTACGAACCGCGGCGATGTACACCCTACGCTTAGTGGACAGTCGGATGTCATGGCGATACCACAGGTGTTGCAGGTTAGTGAAAGCTGCTCTAGCTTTCGCTATCCGTGATGTGATCTCCTTCTTAACACCACCACCAGCTGCGATCAAGCTCCCGAGTTACTTAAAGCCCTCTACTTTTAGCTGATCACCACAGAGGGTGAGTACAGGCATAGGCTCCTGCCAGTCTTGAACAAGCACTTTGCATTTAGAAGGTACGAAGCGCATACCACATCTGGATACTTCGATCGCCAAGCTGTTCAAAGCGTCTTGGAATGCCTGTGTGTTGTCACCCAGTAAGGTGATGTCATTGGCATATTCTAAGTCAAGGACTCTATTCCCCATGAGGAGTTTGACTCCACCGTTTGCTAGACCGGACAAAGAGTTCTGTAGAACATCCTCTATGCCAGAGTTGAAACGAAATGGGAATATAGGGCAGCCTTGTCGAACTCCACTGGAGACGGCGAAGGGTGGCAAACGTTGGCCATAGGCCCTAACCAGACCTGAGGTATTACGATATAACTCTTTGAGGATCGACACATACGTCTCAGATACTCCACTCCTCAACAAACAGCTCCATGGTGCGGTCCTATCGATAGAGTTGAAGGCCGCGCGGATGTCTAAGAATACAATGATCGTTGGTCTCTGATAGTTCCCTTCACCCGGTCAACCTTTGGATAGCACTTTCGCTGTTGCTCAGACAGGACTGTGGCCATATTGGCTTGCCCGCACTTTGTTCCTAGCTAAGCGCAAGGTCGTACTCCAAACAAAGCAAGCCCCTCCTTTACTCTTCTTTAAAGACCCACTTCGTGTTTCAATCCACCACTCAGCCTGTCCGAGATTTGGGCTACACGATCAATCATGTAAGGTTTGGTGGATGGAAACACTTGGCATGGTTTCACTTGTCGTTTGTAGGCGCGTTCGTGCGCGCATGTGAATCAACCTTGACTTAACACAATCAGAGTGGACTATTGGGAGTTCAATCCCAGGCCCTAAAGGAGCCAGTGAGTTGTCCTGTAACCGTCACCCGCGTCTGGCATGGGTTATGTATGTTACCGAGTTCACTAGACTGTATCTAGAAAAGCTCACCAATGTATCACAGTCAGCAAGAGACCGTGTGTGTGTTTGTGTGTGCTCGTAAGCTACAGCTGGATTTAGGTTACCCAACAATCTATAGTGGTAATCTCAAATGTTTAACTGCCGATTGTATCTTCAGCAATAAAATCGAGACTTCATCTTCAGCCTTTTAAAATTTGACTACTTTGAGGTCCTGGGGATATTCTGATGCACATCTACGGTCACATGAGAAGGACTATAATTTGTCCGTGAATGAATGCCGCAAATTTCAAAGCTTGATAAACACGAGGAGATAAACGATGACAAATTCCAGACAAGAATGTTTGAAAATCCTTCAGATTAACTGTTCAGATTTCTCGCAATGAATTAAGGTATGAATAAAAATCAGTACAGAAAAAATTGGTATCATTTTCAAATCGATCCAATCTTGGCTGACAGGGGAACAAGGACGGGAATCGAATGTACGCCATGCCGTATTCGCGGACGATTTGAATCAACCGTTGTTTCGGCGTGCCCGATCAGCTAGCTACTTCACTCTAGGTCGGACTGGTCGGTCTGATCTACGACCGAATATTCCCGGAGCGCGACGAAAATCGAGTAGTGGAGCGCGCCGTGTGGCTCATTCCATTCTGCATCCGCTCACCGACCCTGAGAAGGCTCAGTTGCAAATCCGTGAAATTGAACGCATGGCCCGGGAACGTCGTCGTGAGAAGGAACGGCGACATCGACACCGAGTTGCTCAGGGCAAATTTACCTTGATGGAACGGTTGACTGGGAAGGCAAAGGAACAGAGTAAGTCAGTGCTTTGCAGGTCATTTGTGAATTGTGTGTAGAGTGAGGCGAGTGAAGCCTAAAATTCACTGTCTACTTGGTGTACAGGGAACTTGATATGCCCTACCGCTAAAGTGGAAGATAAAAGGAAGATAGCCATTACCAGGTGTTTCTTCGATCCGATGCTGGGATGGATGTGTTCAGAGGTTGTTTTACCCTAAAGCCATGTG